GGATGGCGAGCTCCTAAGTTGGCCTGGGCGGCGGGGCCGGGCCATGGCCCGCGCGTCCCCACCGGGTCCCCAGGACTCCGGACCACGGGACCCGGGCGCCCCAGACCCGCGCCTCTAGCGCGCCCCCGTCGGCCGCGGGCACGCGTGGGAAAGTTGGCCTGGAACCGGCCCGACCAGTTCCTGCCGGGCGCGCGGACCGGCCGCAGGAAGTTGCCGAAAAACTTTTTTCGGGGGGTGCGACCCGAGCCCCCCGAGCGCGCGGGCTGCATGCGCGCGGGGTAGCCGGGTCCCCCTCGGGTCGCCAGGCGTGCCCGGAGGGGACGGACTCGCCCCGGGGCGCCCCGGCCCCGCCGTCCCTGGGGCTATGGCCATGGTGACCAGCGGCTGGGGCGGCCCCGGAGGCGACACGAACGGCGTGGACAAGGCCGGCGGGAGCTACCCACGCGCGACCGAGGACGACTCGGCGTCGCCTCCCGGGGTGGCCAGCGACGCGGAGCCGGGCGACGAGGAGCGCCCAGGGCTGCAGGTGGACTGCGTGGTGTGCGGGGACAAGTCCAGCGGCAAGCACTACGGCGTGTTCACCTGCGAGGGCTGCAAGAGTTTCTTCAAGCGCAGCATCCGCCGCAACCTGAGCTACACCTGCCGGTGAGCCCCACGCGCGGCCACCGGGCCGGCCCGGACCTGCTCGGTCACCTTGGGCCTGGCGCTGACCTTTCCCGCACCCGTATCCCCGCCCAGGCCACGGGCACGGCTTCGGCTGTGATCGGGTATACAGTTGGCGATGCATGCGTGCAGGTCACCACCACCACCCCCCGCACCCCCGCAGGTGGTCTTTGCTCCTCTCCTTCTGCTCTGGAGAGCTGGTTCTGCCGCGCGGGGAGGGCTCGTGGGTGATGTCAGGAGTGGGGACCCCCTTTCCAGCCCCCAGGGCCCCCTTTCCCGTGGAGGCCCGTCACGCGTGGTGCCCCGCGGGAGTCAGACGTGCAAGTCGCATCGCGGGGCTGGCGGCGTCCAGGGGCCATTGTCTGCGGCCGCGCGGATCGATCCGGCGCGCCCTTGGGTCAAATATCACTTCCAAAGTCGCCCCGGCACGGGCAGCTGGAGGGACGCCCGGGTGGCTGGGGATGGCCGCCCTCGCCGGCGGCGGGGGGCTGCTGAACATGGGGACCTGGGCCTGTCCATCAGAGGGGCACCCCATGGGCTCTGGGTCACCGGAAGCCGCCGCCGGAGGGCCAGCAAGGCCACCGGAATTGACCGCACCCCCCACTCCGGGGCTGGTACAGCCTTGGGGCTCCCGGACGAGCCTTTAAACTTTGGGGCCGCTCTAGGAGCGAGAGACCCGTGGGAGATGCCGACCCCTTTTCGGGGCCCAGCAGGGCGTGGCCTTGCTTACTGGCAGCCGCCAGGGACAGAAAGTCCCTTGGAGAGGAGGTTGGGTGCTCAGGCCAGAGGTTGCAGACCACTTTCTGTCTAGGCATGCAGAAGCTGGGCTCTGCACCCCCAGGATCCGGCAGACAGCCCCGTTTCCCGGGTGCTCAGAGCTGACCCCAGAGAAGTTGTAGGCTGCCCCGGGTCAACGTAAGGGTCTTGGCCCCATGGGCTTAGCAAGTGGAGCTGTGGGCGCCGGGATGTGCAGTTGGTGGGATGAGGAGTTAGTGGAATGTGGAGTTGGGTTTTGTTTGTTTTTGGTTTTTTCGTTCCCCCCGAGGTTATTGGCTGATGGCCGCTCAGTTGGGGGCTGCCACCGTGTTAGAGTGTGGACTTAGTGGGGACCTGCCTTGCCCCCCTCCTCCAGCTGTAACTGGGCCACCAGACTTTGGCCTCATTCTTGAGTCTGGAAGGAGTTGCTAGGTTTGGCTGGGTCTTTGGGGAGAATAGAGGGGGTTGGGGCAGGTTCGGGCCCCACCTGCTCTCTGGGTTCCTACCTTGTGTGACCTTGTGTGGCCAGTGTCCCTCCCTGAACCCGAGTGGGTCAGCAGCTCTTTGGAGGGGGCCATCAGGAAATGGCCTCACAGCCCTGGCAGGCAGAAGAGGAAACCCCAGGTGAGGGTGCAGTGGGGTGGTACCGTCAGGTGAGCCCAGCCAGCAAGTGGGCCCGACGCTCTGGGCTGAGAGCATCAGGGAGCCTGACCCGTGCATGAGCAGGGTCTGCTCAGATCCTGTTGGGCAGTTGTGTCACACTCAGGAGGCTGGAGCAGGAGGATGGCCTGAGCCCAGAAGGCTGAGGGCAGCCTGGACAGCATCGTGAGGGGACAGTGCTCCTCCCCGCCCCCCTCCCAAACGACAGGGATACAAAGCAAGGACAGCAATTGGAACTAGGCCATGCCTTTGGGAAAAGCACATACGCTTTAGGTGCGGTAGCTGGAAGAACTTACTGCGTTTTGTGGGATTTAATCTGTCCCAATCATGCAGTTGGAAAGGCAAGGCAGAAGGCCTTCCCCGAGCAGACCTGCTCACCCACCCAGGGCCTGGCCAGTTCCGCCTGGCCGCCCTGATCCTCCACCTCCCGCCTGGCCGCTGGCTTTGTTCTGGCTGTGTCTGAGTTCACTCTGCCCCAGCTGGGCCCCTTCCTGGGGCCTTTAGAAGCCACAGGGTGTGGGCTCTCCTAACCCTGGCCAGAGCCCCCCTGCTGGGGCTGGAGGCTGTCCCTGGAGCCCCCCAGTACCCTCTGCTCGGTGTCCCTGTATAGCGCATCAGCGGGTGTCTGGTACAGGATCGGGCTGGGGGAGAAGCCAGGGCCCAGCTCTGGGCTTGATTTCTTCCTCGAATTTCTGCTCTGTGTCTGGATGCTCCTGGGTGCCCAGATTGGGCAGGGCAAGGCATTCTCCAAGGGCTGACCAGAGGAAGAATCCTGGGCTTATGGAGAAACCGGGGTGGGGGTGGGGTGGGGGTGGAGTTCTCGGGAGAAAAAGCCCTGTTATTCATTCTTTTTTTAAAATGATTTATTTTTCTTTTATGTGCATTGGTGTTTTGCCTGCATGCATGTCTGTGTGAGGGCGTCAGATCTTGGAGTTACAGACCGTTGTGAGCTGCCATGTGGGTGCTGGGAATTGAACCCTGGTCCTGTGGAAGAGCAGCCAGTGCTCTTAACCATTGAGCCATCTCTCCAGCCTCTCATTCATTCATTCTTATGACAGGCTGTAATGCTGGGGCCACACAGGGCGATGACTCCATTACAGCTGCCTCTCGGCCTGGTGGTGACCAGGTACAATGGAAAGGATTCACTCTCCATCCTTTGAGTTTCAAATCTGTCTCACCTTGTCCCCTGCCAGAAGAGGCTTCTCCACCTCTGTGCTCTTGGGGAACTTTTATTCAGACAGACTCCAACACCCATTGCAATCCGATTCCTACCATCACAGGCTAGGGAGCCCCACCTGGTGATCCCCAAGGGTTCACAGGCACGGAGGATGTGGGTGTCACTGGGAACCCTGGCCTCTGCCCCCAGGTCTAACCGAGACTGTCAGATCGACCAGCACCACCGGAACCAGTGTCAGTACTGCCGCCTCAAGAAGTGCTTCCGGGTGGGCATGCGAAAGGAGGGTGAGTAGCCATGGGTGTGGCCGGCCACAGCTGGGCTCTTCCCCTTAGTGACCTCCTTCTCCCTCTCCCAATAGGACTTTTATTTTTATTTTTTTAATTTGTTGACTCTCTGCTCTGTATGTTTGCTGAAGGCAGGACTCAGATTACAGCCAAAGGCTGCCTGAGGGAGGCCCAGCTGCCTGCCCCTGCCCAGGGGACCTGGGTGGACAGACACACTGGACACCTGGGCCTCAGATTCTGTCAGGTCCCTCTAGAATTCAGGTGCAAGCCAGGGGCAGCCACACAGAGCCCTGAGGGTTGGGAGCCTGGGCTGGGAGGGAGGGGAGGCCAGGGTAGCAGGCCACCTGTTGCTTGCTTTGACATTGGTCACTTTCTTGTGGGGCTTCTGAGGATCGGAGTATGACCACTGCTTAAGGTCTGCTTTGGACTGGAGAGTCAGGCATAGTGGCCCAGGCTTGTCATCCCAGTACTTACGAGGCTGAGGCAGGAGGATCTCCAGATTGAAGTCAACTTGGGCTACATAGCAAAACTTGGTTAGAAAAAAATGACATCCACACACAACGAAAACATCATCAGCCTTGTCTGATGGCGCCCTTCTGTCCCTCTAAGTTTGAAGGTGGCTCCTGCCCCTTGCCCAGCCTGGATCTCTGTCCTAACTTGTCGGTTAGATGGAGAGTCCCGATAGGTCTCTAATCAGAGCCTGTGATCTCCAGCCTGTCACCAGGACTCCTGCTCCCAGTGCCTTCCTGCCTCAGGGCCTTTGCACAGCTGTTCCTTCCAAATGTGGGCCGGGCCCTCCCTCCTGTCCTTAGGGTTAGTTCCTGGGGTCACAGGCTTATGTCTACCTTGTTCTGAAACTGGCACCCTTCACCCGTACATCTCCAGGCCTGCTCCAGGGTCTGGCACACACAGTAGGTGTTCAATAAATGGCTCTTGGCTGGGTTTACCAACCACCCAGCCCTTCACCCCTGACAGGCACTGTTAGAAGCAAAGTCGTGTCGATTCTCATACACGTAGCTTAGTGGTCATCTGCTGCATTTGGCATTTGAGGACACCGAGGCACAGAGAACAGCTGGGTGCTGGGATTTGAACTCCAGCGGTCTAGACTGGAGGAAGAAGACAAGGGCAGGGGAGGGGTGGGCTTTTGAGGCTTGGAACATTCTGGGCAAAGGACCTGGAGGGCTCATGAGGGAGCAGTGGTGAGGGTGTGTCTGCAGTTTGTGAGCGGACGGAGCTCCCGAGAACGGAGGGAGAACGGGGATCTTGTCCAGCCCGTGCCTCGTGTCTGTGCCGGGTCCCTTCCTGTGCTCCCTGCATCCCTTGCTCTGGCTCCAGCTGGATTGACCTGGAGTTCACCCACCAGGGAGACAGGTGTCGGCTCATTAAAGCACACTCGTTAGCTGCCTCCTGGCTCCATGCCCAGGCTGCCTTCTCCCTGCTAAAATACCTGTGCTCCTCCATGCCTCAGTTTCCTTTCCACCCCGTCCGTGATGAGGACTCAGATAAGCATTGGATTCTCTTCTCAGTGATTTTTGAAACAGGGTCTCGTGTATCCCAGGCTGGCCTCAAAATTATTTTGTACTGAGGCTGGCCTTGAACTCCTGACCTTCCTGCCTCCATACTCCAGGGCTGGGATGACTGGTATGCACCACCATGGGCAAAGGTAACAATGGCAGCCACTGCCCTTGGGGACCACAACCATGCCACTATGGCCATGTGGTCCCACTGGGGAGTTGTGAGTGGTGGGAGAGGCCAGGAACAGATCCAGTTCCCGGTGATTGACCCACGTGGCCTCCACGGTGCAGGAGGAGGGTGGAGATCCTGGGGATGGGCGCCCACGTGAGCAGGCAGGGCCCTGGTGGCCAGCGCGTGCCTGGTGCCCGGTGCTGCCACACGGGGTGGGGGTGGCCCTCCCGCACCGACGCCTGACGCCGCCCTGTCTCCGCAGCCGTGCAGCGCGGCCGAATCCCGCACGCGCTCCCGGGTCCCGCGGCCTGCAGTCCCCCCGGCGCGGCGGGCGTCGAGCCGTTCGCGGGGCCGCCGGTGTCCGAGCTGATCGCGCAGCTGCTGCGCGCCGAGCCCTACCCCGCGGCCGGGCGCTTCGGCGGCGGCGGCGCCGTGCTGGGCATCGACAACGTGTGCGAGCTGGCGGCGCGCCTGCTGTTCAGCACGGTCGAGTGGGCCCGCCACGCGCCCTTCTTCCCCGAGCTGCCGGCCGCCGACCAGGTGGCGCTGCTGCGGCTCAGCTGGAGCGAGTTGTTCGTGCTGAACGCGGCGCAGGCGGCGCTGCCGCTGCACACGGCGCCGCTCCTGGCCGCCGCGGGGCTGCACGCCGCGCCCATGGCTGCCGAGCGCGCGGTGGCCTTCATGGACCAGGTGCGCGCCTTCCAGGAGCAGGTGGACAAGCTGGGCCGCCTGCAGGTGGACGCCGCCGAGTACGGCTGCCTCAAGGCCATCGCGCTCTTCACGCCTGGTGAGCCCGCCCCGCCTGCCTGCTCCGGCCCGGCCAGGCCACGCCCCAGACAGGCCCCCTCTCCCACAGGCCACGCCCCAGACAGGCTCCTTGCTCCCACAGGCCACGCCCCAGACAGGCCCCTTGCTCCCACAGGCCACGCCCCAGAAGGCTCCTCTCCCACAGGCCACGCCCCAGACAGGCCCCTTGCTCCCACAGGCCACGCCCCAGACAGGCCCCTCTCCCACAGGCCACGCCCCAGGCAGGCTCCTTGCTCCCACAGGCCACGCCCCAGGCAGGCCCCTCTCCAACAGGCCACGCCCCAGACAGGCTCCTTGCTCCCCGGGCGCATCCAAGCAGTCAGGCCCCAGATAGCAGCCCGTCCCCACGGACAAGCCACGCCGCTAAGCGCCCCGGCCCTGGCACAGACCAGGCTCCCAGCCAGACCCAAGCCACGTCCAGCCCAAAGCCACGCCCCCAGACTGACCACGCCCCTAGCCCCGCTATGGTCCCCACACTGATCCAGGCCTCCGCCCCAGGACATGCTCTTCCCTCCCAGGTGAGGCTAGCCAACCTGGGCCAGTCCCCAGCCAGGCTGAGAGGCCACTGCCTCGGGTCACACCCTTTTGACGGGTGACATCCCTGCATCTGCCACAGGCCATGCTGCGGGTCCTACCCATGATTTGCCCCATCTTGCCCCCAGCTTACCCAGACAGTACGCCACTGGACTCTGAAACTGCCCCGGGCTCCGGCATCTGTCCTGGGGTCACGCCCCCTTGGTGGGAGGACATAGATGGTGACCATTCTTGCCCGGGCAGGCAGGAGCTAGGCTCTACCCTAGGCCACACCTCAGGGGCCACTCACTGCGATGGCATGCCTTTGCCGTGATCGGGAGGGACGGGGTGACGTAGGCAGTGCTCGTTAGAGATCCCGAGATGGGACCTGTAACTCTGGTCCCCGGGACCTCGTCAGAATGCTTGGTGGCGTAGTGCTGGCCTGTCATCTCAGCCTTTCGGTGGGCTGTGGCAAGAGACTAGAGAGTTCCGGGACCGCAGAGCCAGATACTAATTCCCCACCTGAAAAAACTTTAAAAGGGATGTCCTGGCCCTGCTCTTCCCGTGGGCGTGGCTCAGAAGGGGTTAGAGGCGTGGCTTGGAGGCCCCTCCCACAAAGAGGCAGATCAGTAGTGCTGATCTGACCCGCCCTTAGTAACTCCCATCCATGGGGTGGCCCTGAGGGTTCTGCACATGGGCAAAGCTCCCTGAGGCTGTTCCCTCGGTTCTACACAGCTTGTCTGTGGTGGACACTGGCTTAGATATCCTCATTCGTGTCCTGGGTCCACCTCTGCTTCCCCCGGGGGCATCCCTACCCCTCCTGTGGGCCTCTCGTCCTGCGTCCGCAGAGGTGACTGGTGTCTTCTTCCTGCAGACGCTTGTGGCCTTTCTGACCCGGCCCATGTGGAGAGCCTGCAGGAGAAGGCACAGGTGGCCCTCACCGAGTATGTGCGCGCCCAGTACCCATCGCAGCCCCAGCGCTTCGGGCGCCTGCTGCTGCGGCTGCCGGCCTTGCGTGCTGTGCCAGCGACCCTCATCTCCCAGCTGTTCTTCATGCGCCTGGTTGGCAAGACACCGATCGAGACGCTCATCCGAGACATGCTACTTTCAGGGAGCACCTTCAACTGGCCCTATGGCTCGGGCTAGTGATGGACACCTTCCAGGACACAAGGATGCTGGGACCTTGCAGGGGCCCTGGGGTCAGGGCCCCAGCTTTTCTCCTAAGACTGATTCTTTTTTAAAAGACTGTGAAATATTTGTCTGTTTTGTTTTTTAATTAATCTTGAAACCAAAAAGAATTTGCTCTCCCAGGCCTCAGCCTTGTCCTCCTGGCAGCCCCTGGTTAGCGTGGGGCTGAGGGTCTGGAGCCAGTGTGCTGGTGACCCTGCTGTGATCGGTGTGGGGCTGGTATCTGGAAGGGCCACTGCGGCTGGGCAGGGTACTGTGGACCGGGAGGGACCCTGGATACATGGCCCATGATGGGCACTCTGAGATGACGAAATCATGGCCAATAATAAAGATATTCCCCTACTTGCTCAGTCTTACCTTTTCTTCTGCCATGCTGGGGAAGTAACCCCAGGGTCTAACCTGTACTCAGCAGGCTCCAGGGGAGTGGAAGCCGTGCCTCCTGTGGAGAGATAAGCCCCTGGTAGAAGTTTTCCCAAGACATTTTTGCACTCGCTGGATCAAGCCACGCCTGAAGCCCTCCGGTGTTTTCAGGGATCAAGCTACCTTTTTATTTTTTTGTTTCTTGAGACAGGGTCTCTCTGTGTAGCCCTGGCTGTCCTGGAACTCACTCTGTAGCCCAGGCTGGCCTCGAACTCAAGAGATCTACCTGCCTCTACCTCCCGATTAAAGGCATGCGCCACCACACCTGGCTTCAATCTACCTTTTATATTGGGGTCAATTTGAGTTCAATTTCTTCTCTCAAGTAACATAAATCACTTTTTCTAACATTGGCACAAAGAACTTTGAAATGTGAATTTAACTGCATTGATGTGTGGTGATGAATGTAGCCCAGCTATGGTGGTGATGCCTTTTATCCCAGCAGGGGCAGAGGCAGGGGGATCTCTGAGAGTTTGAAACCAGCCTGCTCTACAAAGTGAGTTCCTGGACAGCCATGGCTACATAGAGAAACCTTGACTCAGGGAGAAAAAAAAAAATTCCGGAGAGTTAGGGGCCCAACTTGAGGGTGGGACTGAGCACCGGATCTACACTTAGCATTCCCAAGGCCCGTGTTCAATCCCCACCTGAGCTGCTTTCCTACAAAACTCCACACATGTGGCCCCTCCTGATGGAAAACGCCTGGGGCTTGCTGGTTTTGAACTGCCACCTTTCTAGGACCAGGGTGTAACTGACTGTCCGTGTGGCCGGAAGTGGACTCCTGGCCTGGAATTGGCCTGGCTTTTTTATCCTCTGTGGCTCAGGGGATTCCCAGACAACACACACAGTGTGTTGCAACATCACCCTAAACACCAAGGCCAGCTAAAGCCAGGACCTATGCACAGCGGAGGGGACCACAGTGTGCCTCCTGCACACAGGTCCCATACATTGCCCAGGAAGCCTCAGGCAGGGGGCATGTCTCCATAACATTAGCTTCGGAAGGTCTCATCATGTAGCCCAGGATGTCCCCAACTTACGCCTCTATCTCTGCCTCCCAGGAAACTACACAATTGTTGCTCCCATCTGTGACCTTGGACAGGTCCTTGTCTCTGAACCTCATCATCCTCCCTCCCCCCGTAAAATGAAGAAATGCTTTTAGGCAGCTGCACACAGAAGGGGTCTAATCCATGTTTATTCTCTGGGATTCTCAATAGGACTTGCTTCCCCTGGGAGAACTGGAGTGTGGCTTCTCAGTGGACGAGAAGCCACTGCCATCTCCAGGACACTCAGAAGTACACAGAGTCCTCACGGTCGCTGTCCTCTTGGTCATCGAATTTTCGGATCTGGGACTTGAGGTGCCTCAGTTTACCCTTCAGGTAGTGACAGCGAGCCTGCTTATCCAGGAAGCCAGGATCCTGGGGGAACAGGAGCTGAGGAAGTCCTCTTGGCACTCTAACCTGAGGTCCTCAAGATTTGTTTTTTTATGAACCGCATACACGGTCCCAGTTTCAGGACCGGACCAGAGCCCACAGACCCAGGCGTCTCCACTCACCGCCCGCTTCTTCTCAAACTCTCTCCAGACACGAGCTGCCACGTGAGCCTCCTTCTGAAAGGGCGAGGCGGGGCAGGGGCTCAGAAGGGTGGGCAGGGCCGACGTGGCTGTGACGGCAGGGCCCACCCGGTAGAGGGAGCACCCTGGAGGACCCGGGGCTGACCTGGCTTCGCGGTGGGGGCAGTGACGTCAGCAGGGCCTCCAGCTGCCGGAGCTTGGCCTGCGCGGCCCCCACCTCGCGCTGGAGCTGCGAGAACTCTCCGAGCTGGTCCTCGAACACAGCGGCATAGCGGCTCCGATCCCTCCTGCTGCTCACCGGCGGGTACTTACTACCAGATCGGAAAAGGGGTCGGCGTGAGTGGGAGGAGATCTGCCTTTCCCCTCCGTCATGGCAACTGGCTTTTCTTTGCCCACGCTGGGACCCCCAACTAATGCCCCCAGTACCTTTCCTAACTCGGTACTGATCCTTCCTAGTTCCCAGGCTTTAAAAAGCAGGGAGGGACCACGAGCGTGGTGACTCAGGGCTGAGGCAGGAGGTTCATGACCTTTAAGAGGCTAGCCTGGGCTACAAGGCCAGAACCCCCCCCCCCGGCTTTTCAACAAAAAGCCACAGTGGGGCACTCACAGCTCATAGTCAGGCACTGGGTTGGGACTGGGTCCCGGGGCTTTGGGAGGCTTTTCTTCGTGCAATGGGGCCTGGGGACGTAGCTCGTCCTCAAACACGATCTTCCGGGGCCTCGTGCGGAGCCCGGCCGGCCCCGGCTGACACTGCGGAGGGTGAGCGTGGGGCTCCCGGCTTCCAGACACCAGCGTCTGCACAGCAGCAGGGATCGCGGGTAAGAGGTGTCAGGAAGCGGGGTTCCCCCAGGTAGAGGCTCCTACACGGGCACTCACCCGAGGCTGGGGGCCGGCTGGGCGGGGCTTGGGGCCGGCTGGGCGGGGCTTGGGGCCGGCTGGGCGGGGCTGCGGGCGCTCCCGGGCGGGCATGCGCGGGGCCGCGGCGCTCGGGCGCCCCCGGACGGCGGGGCGCGAACTGCAAGCAGCGTTGGGGCCTGAGCGTCCGGCCCGGGGTCTGCAGGCGGCAGGAGGACCCGGCGGGCCGCGCCTGGGGGCGGGGCCTGCGGGGATTTGCATACGCGAGCGCGGTTGGCTGGCCGCGCAACCCAGACTCCGCCCCTTGTCCGCGGACCCCGGCAGGGGGCGCTGAAGAGCTCCGAGGCGTCACCAAGCCCTCATTTGCATGAAGGCACGGGGTTGGCTGGCCGCGCAGCGCCGGCCCCGCCCCCGGCTCCGAAGCCGGAAGGGAGCGATGCAGCGGATCCCGGGCGTCGCGGCGACCCCGGTCGGGTCGGAGCGACCCCCGCGCCTACCGCCGCAGCCCACGGTCACGTCCCCGCGGAATGCCCACCTCCTCCCGCCTGTCGGCCACTCGGGTCGTCCCGCGCAGTGTCACCTGTCCCCGAGCCGCGGATCCGCGCCCAGCTCTGCTGCCGGGAACGCAGCCGTGCAGGAACTGCCTATGGATCCGCTGTCCAGGGCGCCCGGCCGCCGGGGCGGGGCCAAATGGGTGGGCGGGGCCTGCGGGGTGTTGACACCCGGTTTGAGTCCTCTCTCTAGGGGCGCTGTCTGGGCTCATTAACTTTCCCAAATCTATTGTAAAAAAACAGGTTGTTTTTTGTTTGTTTTTAGTAATTGTATTTTTAAAAAATACCTTTGTGGTTGTGTGCATACACAGAGGCCAGCTCAGGTTATTGCTTCCCCATCTTTTTTTTCCCCCGTTTTGGCTAGGCTGGCTGGCCGGGAGCTCCGGATAGATCTGCCTGTCTCTACTCCTAGCACTGGAATCATAGGCTCATGCACCCCACCCCTGGCATTTTAGATGGGTACTGAGGATTTGAATCTAGGTCTGCATACTTGGGCAACAAGCACTTTTACAATGAGTCTTTGCCTTATCGCCTAAAAGAAAGTTTAGGCTTTTATGATGTGGATTAGGTGTGTGCGTGGGAGTGCAGCTGCCCAGAGGCCACAGGTCTCAGGTTCCCTGGAGCTGGAGTTACAGTAAATATATTTATTATTAAATAGTTTTTGATTTGCCTTTTCCCCTCCATTCTTGTATTTTATTTGTGTGTTCTGGAGTGGAACTCGGGTTGTCAGGTCTTTTGGCAAGTGCCTGTACCAGCTGAACCGTCTCATAAGCCTTTCTTTTGCTATTTTGGAGGATGTGGTCAGGCTCTCACTATGCTGGCCAACGTCAGGACAGAAAGTGTGCTGATCGACACCACCCTGCAGCCCACACACCCCACTCCACGAGCCCTGAAGGCGTGAGCTGGCTTTATTTCAGCCTGGGCATGATTCGGATAAACAAGATCATGCTGATGAAGACGAAGCACACGACGATCAGCATGGCCCACAGCAGCCAGTTCACCGACTTCTGCGCATGCTGCTCCAACCGCTCTGATTCTATCTTCAGCTTCTCCAGGTTCTGGTCGGCCATCTTGAGAGAGTGTGACAGGGTCTGTGGGAGAAGGGGACTGTCAACAGGACTGAGACCGCGTGGCCTCTCTTGGGTGGCCCAGGCTTCGGGCCCTAGCCGATGCTGTGCCCTCTGCTGGGTCTGCCTCAGCCACCCCTCCTTGGCCTTCCCCAAACTCCTGCTGAACCTGCAGGGCACCAGTCACAATGCCCCTCTTCCGCCCAGCTGTCTCAGTGCCCGAGGCAGCGGCTGCAGCGTTTCCCGCACCTGGTTGTCCTTCTTGATGACACTCTGGGCGGCCAGTGTGTTGGTCTTGAGGCTGCGTGCCAGGCCTAGCATCTCCTCCGCCAGCTTTTCCTGGAGGCCCTGGTGCCTCTGGAGGACGAGGTCAAGCTCGGACGCTGAATGCTTCTCATCTGCAGGTCTGGGCCCCTTTGCTCTGCTGACCCCACATGTAGTGGGTACCCAGGAGTGACAGGTGGAGATGTAGACACCCACATGGTGCCTTCCCAAGGATCCCAGGGCCCATGGCATCACCCCAGTTCTGCTTGGGACTCAGTTTCCCCTGCTTTTTTACATTCCAGGAAGAGCAGCCCCGGAAAGGACTTCCAGTGGGCAGTTAGCTCCTTGTAGCATCACCTCAGGGGCCCAGCTTCACCCAGCGCCCATCACCTCAGGGGCCCAGCTTCACCCAGCCCCTCCCGTTCCCCACCACTCAACGGCTAAGATACTCACGTGCGCTTCCTCACGTCCACCTCAAGCTCTGTAAGCAAAGGAGGCCAAGGACCAAGGTTGGTTTCCTGTTTCCAAGTCTGCTACCCAGAATGCTGTTCTGCCTGGGACCTACTGTCCCCTGGACCCATCATCCTTCCTATCCCCAAGGTCCCAGGTCCCTCTCGGTGGCCTAGCACTGCACTGGGGCGCTGTCTCTCCTGGGGACACCTTCTCTTTCTCAGCCTCCCCTCGGGCATGGCTCAGCTGACCCTGGGTTACCCTCTTCCCGGGCTGGGGAAGATCAAGGGAGGCAGGCAGGCACAAGGACTGTGGAGCAGTAAGGACAGGGAAGTCTTGCCTGCCGTGACTCACCTCCAGGTGATTCCTGTGGGGAGAAGAGAGAGGCATGAGGCCATGCACCTTAATGTCTTCCTAAATCTCTCTCTCTGCCTTGGGGTGACCCACGAAAAGTGCTCTGAAGGACATTCCTTATTCTATTGTAAACAAATTCTGACGGGGGGCAATTCTGGGGCTCAACCAGACAGACATGGTCCATCTTGTTGTTGTCTTTTCTTTTGTTCGTTGTTGAGACAGGGTTTCTCTGTGTAGCTCTGTTGTCCTGGAACTCACTCTGTAGCCCAGGCTGGCCTCGAACTCCCGGAGATCCACCTACCTCTGCCTCCCGAGTGCAGGGACTAAAGGTGTGCACCACCACCGCCACCATCTACTCTTGCCAGAAACCAAATTCCTGTTCCTTTAGCAATGTCTTGAGCACAGTACCTTCTCTGGGAAGCCTTGTCTGTGGGCCCTCTTGGGTTCCTGGTACTGTGTTCAATCTCTGTCCCTGTACAGACTCTGTGCTGTCCCAAGGATGGTCCCAGGGACAAGGGAGGAATCCTACCGTGCCCAGCAGCTCGCTCCGCATCTCACTGGTGTAACGTGCCCGGGACTGCAAATGCACGGTCTTGGTGGCGGGCACCCGTTCCCTGGCCGTGGTGGGCACGCGGCCAGGGGCCAGGAACTGGTTAGCGAGAGCCTTCTCCGAGGAGGAGGTCTGAGGGAACACGGGAAGGGCAAGGTCCGTCACTGGAGGGCTGTGTCCGGGTCCCGGGGGCTGCGGGGGCCCGAGCGGGCCGAGGAGGAGGGCAGGCTCACCAGCTTCTCAGCCTGCAGCATGCCCTTCAGGAAGTCCACCTTGCGCGAGTACTCGCTGATGACCTCAGAGGCGGGTTTGCTGAAAGGCAGAAGGAGGAAGTCAACCCGCCTCTGTCGCGGCCTGGGGGGGTCTGGGCGCCCCACACTCACCTGGCCTGGATCTTCAGGGCCTGCAGCATGTCTTCCAGGGCACCCACATACTGGGAGGAAAGGCAGGGTGTCAGCTGTCAGGGACCAGGAAGGGGTGTGGCCGGGGCGGGGCCGGAGAGGGCGGAGCCAGGGCCGGGAGGGCGGAGCCACGGGCCGGGGTGGGGCCGGGGCGGGGCCGGGAGAGGGCGGAGCCAGGGACCGGGGCGGGGCCGGGAGAGGGCGGAGCCACGGGCCAGGGTGGGGCCTGGAGAGGGCGGAGCCACGGGCCAGGGTGGGACCAGGGCGGGGCCGGGGAGGGCGGAGCCGCGGGGCGGGGCCGGAGAGGGCGGAGCCACGGGCCGGGGCAGATCGTCATTAAGTGGGGGCAGAGGGCGTGGCCTGTGGCCGAGGGGGTGGGATCAGGAAGAGACACGGCGGGGCTATGCGCCAAGGGGCGGGGCCGCACTTGACGTGGCGGCGCCAACCGGAAGTGGCGTGGCCGGAGAGTTGGATCGTCGGCCCCTAGGGCCCGAGCCCTCTGTGGCGGCGTGGGAGTCCCTCACCTTCTCCAGACGCCACTCGTTCGGTTCCCGCTTTTCTGCCGCCATTGACTCGCAGCGACACAGCAACCGCACCAGGTTCAACTCCAGCCGCGACGTCGCCAGCGGGCGGTGACCGGCCCCTTCCGCCTGCGCCATCTTAGGAAAGGGCGGAAGTGCCTGCGAGGAGGCTTCTTTTGGTCGACCGTCCCGCCCCTCCGAGGTCCGCCCGGCTAGGCTTGGAACGAAAGTAGAGTTTTGTTTCAAGCCCCGGCGCTGTGCCGTCCGTGTTTGTCCAAGGATGAGCCGTTTCCTTCCCAAGAGAGCGTCTTTTTAAAATTGTAGTTTTGTTGTTTAGTCTTTCCTTCTTTTTTTGAAGCCTAGATGCGCCTGAGGCCGCCGATCACGTCCCGGGAGCTTTGGTCGGCAGGACCGGAAGGGCCGCACTTCAGCCTGGACCCACGCGCAACGCTCCCCGGGTCACTGCGTTCCGCTTGCTCGTCGGGCGCGTCTTCCGTCCTGACGCCCACAGACGGCCACGGCCTCCGCTTTCTGCTGGGCGGGGAGCCTTGGCCTGGGGCTTCCCCCGGCCCGGTTGGTGACACTCCAGGTGGGCGCTTCCGTCGGACGGACCGGCCAGTTTCCAGCGCCGGCCGCCTGTCCCCCGAGCCCGGACCGTCCCCATCCCGTGGTCATTCTGGTCCACTTTATGAAAATAGAACTCGCCAGCGAACCACGGAGGACCAGGAGGCAGGGCCCTTCCCTGGCTAACAGCAATACTTGTTCATCTTGTGTTGAACTCAGTCCGCTACGTGATTTTGCCCGCGGGGGATGGAGAATTCAGAGTGGAGACGATGCTAGATAGCAAGATCCCAGAATCTCTGAAGGACTTGTACAATGAGGAATGCAGGGGACAGGGTCTGCCATGGGGGTTATAAACCGTGCCTGGCATTTCTGCCTTTTCTAAGGCGAGTGACCCTCCCTACCCTATACCCTACTCCCACCTTCGACTTTGCAAGGTCAAAAATTAAGTTGTTTTTCTTCTTTTGAGTCTCCAGCACTTTTTTTTTTTTTTTTTTTAAACTTGCACGGGTGTTTTGCCTGCATGTATGTCTGTGTGAGGGAGTCAGATCTTGGAGTTACAGACAACTGTGAGCTGCCATGTGGGTGCTGGGAATTGAACCCGGAACCTCTGGAAGATCAGTCAGTGCTCTCAACTGCTGAGCCATCTCTCCAGCCCCATCCAGCACTCATAATATGAAGCGAGGATTGTTGTCTCATACTCCCCAGCTCTGGTCTTGAGCGGCTTCCTTTAGCTCTGTTGGGAAAGCATCTGCTACATCTCTCTGCCTTAAGGGGACAGGACCCAAGTCCGGGCTAAGGCAGATCTGGATCACACCCAATACTCAGCATCCTATAGGAATCCAGTGTCAATCCGTGCGTGCGTGCGTGCGTGCGTGCGTGCGTGCGTGCGTGCGTGCGTGCGTGTGTGTGTGTGTGTGTGTGTGTTGAGCACTCAAATTTACATGGAGGACTGCCCTGTGGAGGCCAGGGGGCAACCTCAGTGTCATCCCTCCCCCATCTCCCCATCTCTCTCGACAGGGTCTCACTAGACCAGGCTGGCCTTGAACAGAGATCTGCCTATTTCTGCCTCCCAAGTGCTGGGATTAAAATGTGGGACAGCAGCCTGAGCTTGAGCTACACTCTGTTTGGCCTGGAACTCCTCAAGCGGGCTGGACTGGCCCGCTGGTGAGCCTCCGAGATCCACTTGTTTCCTCCCCAGCACCGGAACTGCAAGCCCTCAGCACTAGACCCAGCTTTCAATGTTTTGGGTTTTATTTTATTTAAATGTTGTGTATGTGTGTGGGTCCATGTGCATGTATGGACTCATGGCATGTAAGTGCAGATGCCCATGGAAGCCAGAAGTGGATGCTGGATCGTCTGGAGCTGGGATTGTGGTTGTGAGCTGCCTATAGTGGGAGCCGAGGATTGGAATCATCAGGTCCTCTGCAAGAGCTGTGTGTGCTCTTAACCACTGAGCACCCCTGCAGCCCCTCACATGGCTTCTGAGAGTGAGAAGTGTAAGGCAAAGCATCGCAGACCTGAGAAAGTTTCTAAAGAGATGCTGGGCTGGACCCATAAATGGCTCTGGCAGGAGGACCTGAGTTCAACACCCAGCACCATGTCAGGCAGCACAGTTTCCTGTAACTCCAGCCTCTTCAGGGACCTGCCTTCACATGCACATACCCACACACAGACACACAACTAAAACATACACATTTAAACTGGGCGG